TTTATATAAATTATGATCTGCGACATTTAATTACTGAATCAGAATTTTAAAAATAGAAGTAGGATCTTTTAAAATTCCACTTATTTTCAAAATATATTTATCATGAAACCCCTAACATATATATATATATATATATATCAATTGCGCATAAGACTGATTCAAATACTTCTATCGTGATTTACTTAAGATTATATAATATTTATCTATACATTATTCTATGCATAACATTACATAAAATATAAGTAGTTTCCATAATAATCTTAAATAGTATTTGGAATTTCTACATGTTTTACAATCTTACCAATCTTATTTCTGAGGATTAATTTACTTGTGCATGCAGGACCTGAATGTTTTCTGTGACATTCAATCTATTTTGTCAGCTAAAAAATTATCTTTTGATACAACTTAACCATTCCATAGTTTTTCTATAGATGGAGAAAACATGTCTTTTTTCGGATCAGAATCTTAAGTTGTATAGTTAGATTAGGTGTATCTTGTGCAAATTCAAGTCTCAATTCATTAAGGGTTTCAAAGTTAACGGCGGGGAATCTAATTTTGACAGAAATAGATAACGTATTTAATTTTCAAAATGAGTAATGTATCTGAGTAATATATCAACTTTATATCATTTTCCGATAAATTTGAAATAATGATCTTTGTCGTTAAAAAGTTTATTTATTCCGTTTAATGGGAGTCCATTTCATTTTCCGATTTACAATTTTGAAATGCAAATAAGATTTTCAAACTCCCATTTATTTTTAAAATGCGCTACTTTTTTCTTAACCTTTAATACAAAATCGTAATCAAATTCTTAACCATCAAATGGCCTTTGTCTTGTCGTCATTTTTATCACAATGATTCGAAATTGTAGATATCAGCTACTAGTATAATAGTTTTTCTTGCAATTTCAGAATCAAAATATGACATTACTCCAAAAATATTATCGCGCTTTTCAAATTACTGTGTCCACTGATTTTCATACATCACACTGGGAATCAGAAATCTAGAAAAAATGCCAATACGTGATTGGCTAAAAATTAATTTTAACCAATCACAGATTTGCATTTATTCTAGATTCTGATTTCCAGTGTGATGTATGAACATCTTTATACAATCCCATATTTGAAGATCGCTACTAAGTATAACCTTTATTTACGCAAAAATATTTCTGGATTTCAAATTTACAATCATTTAACTTAATTTTTTAAATTCTGAACAAAGTTTTGAGTACAACAACACTATTTTGTTCTCGTATTCTAGTGTTTTCATTATTACTTTTTTTTAACTCTTCTTATACCATCAGATAATATTGAAGAAAATATGTTATCAAACCCACCTTTAAACCCACCTTTGCCGATTACTTTATTTATCATTCGGTCATGTCTTTATACTTGTAAAATTTAGACTGAAGCTTTTTTGTAAGATCATTGATTTTATTTTTAGTTATTACAAAATCCGCGAGAAATAGATTTCACTAAAAAGATGAAAGATTATTTAATATTTTAGATGAACAATATCTATTAATGCCTTATAACCTCAAAAACCCAATAGATGCGAGTGAACTTTTAACAGGAATCAAATTCAAATTTAAGAACCATATATAATTCGATCGGATAAAATATCAGATGAAATATCGAATAAAATAATTTTTACGATTGAATTAGTGCCTAACTGTGATAATTGGAAGGACCATAATATGATTATGATTCTGTTCAAAAATACAATTAATTTTATAACTGAAATTATTATATCGAATTAACTGATGATTATAGCGTTGACAGAAAAAGGGAGATTAGAATTGGATGATAAATTATACAGTAATTGATTATAATTATTGCAAGAATCAATGGAGCCCAGATGATGAAAAAAAGCACCCGGATATTCTTTTATCATATTATCCTAATGGAAAAAATTTTATACTACGTTGCTAAATTCTTGAAAATGATGATTTAATTATCTTATACAAAAGAAAAAAAAATCATAGCCCAGACGTTATGAAAATGATGATTTAATTATCTTATACAAAAGAAAAAAAAAATCATAGCCCAGACGTTATGAAATTGAAGCTTTTAAATTTTTATGAGCCCTATTTGTAATGTGTGTTAAAAATAAGAAATAATTTTTAAGATAATCGACTATCAACTACGTACTTTTTTGACTTGATCCATTCAATAAACGATTCAAACTTGATTCCGTTACCTATATAATCAACCAATAGTAATAAATTATATATATAAAGAACTATGAAAATAATTGAGTACTCACTATGTTTAGTGAAGAAGGTGGTTGACATTGGAAGTTCAAGAATTTTATTTCCAATCAAATCATGGAGGGTTGCAAGTCTTCGATAATTTTTTAACCGATACTTAAGATATCCCTTATTTTTAAGGTCATGGTTAATAATGTAATCCCCTAACAGAAGATATTGGAACCGTTTAATTTTAATTTCATCTTTCGTGAGGTTTTTGTCCTTTTTGGTGAGGGTTCCTGCTTTTTCTGAGAACCACTTCTTGTGAAAATCTTTAATATATTTGCATTTATCGTTGCTTTCATTATATTCATTTTTAACGTCATCCCAAATTACTTTTTCGGGTTTCATGGAATTAGTTTCATTGACGATTTTTGCACAGACTCTTATTTCCGATTCTTCGTATCCGTTT